ACACTGCCAGTGGCACCTGCGGGCAGTCGCCGCTTGCCACCCCCACCACCAACACTGCCAGTGGCATCTGCAGGCGGGCCTGGTACACCTGCTGGCCGCTGCCACCACTGCTGGCGGCGTCTGCAGGTGGTCACTGACCGCCGGTCGGCACTTGCCACTCCCTCCCCACCCTCCCACCACTGACAGCACTGTGGCCGCCTGCGGGAGCTCCCTGCTTGCCGCCACCACGCTCCTCCTACCAATAGCACTGCCTACCGCTGCTGCCACTTGCGGGAGCTCACTGTGTCCCCCCAGCCTCTGGGGGCACGCAGCGTTCATGGTCCTGATTGGGAGTTAAGATGCTCCAGCTACACGTATACCAGCTAGAAGACTGGAATATAGAGACTCCCCAGCAAATACCAGCTGCCTTCAGCTCTAAGGCAGTCACTTTCAGAGCATGACTTTGTATTTATAGATAATTGTATTCCCACAAAAATCTCAGGATTTCTGTGGCAGCTGTAGGATCTACCTTCTACTATCACTGGTAACATTACACAGCTTTAAGTTTAACTTCTAGGATTAACTCATTTCAGTGCTACTGGTCAGACGGCTTCATCACCATTTTTTATGCTCATTGATGCACTCCATTATCCTAGATGTTATGCACAGATTATGTAAAACTGTGGCTAACTATAATTCATTATTCGCTAACCTCTATTGCCATCTCCTGGAAGTAAGTGACAATTGTGGAGAAACCTACCTATATCATGGTTACAAACAAGGCTCTGGCTCTCACTTCACAGTAATTTCAGCAAATTTCAATAATGTCTTTTAAGTTTTTTCTGCTAGCTACAACCTTAAAACTTAAGTGCATCATCATCATGGTTTAATGGGGGGATTTGAAATAAAGAGCCAGTTCCATTTCCTTTAGTCCCTGATGTAACAAGGCATAATCTGAATGAAGCCTGCTTTGAGGAATCCTTGGCTTCTTTCTTCTTTCTAAACTAATCCCTGGCTGCTGTTATTCATTAACTGCACTGACTGAATTTAACGAGTTTTGCATGAGAACACACTGCTAATTCTTGAAAGGCTAAGCTGATGAATAGCCCAGTCCCTGTTATCTCACAAGACTTTAGCACTTGGGTCTGCAGAGAGAAAACATATGACTCCAGTCCAGCAATTCTTGTTTCCCCCTAATCCCATTATTCAACACATCTGGAGGTCAAACCACTTACATAGTTGCCTAAAAATTTAGATGCCTAAATGTGTGCCGTGACCTGACTAACGTAAGAGCAGAGAGTCATTCTGCCTGAGACTGTAAAGAGCCTACGTGAATTACTGGAAGAACTAAAAGGAGGTGTCTGTTTTTGGTGAAAAGGAGACAGGCACAAGGCAAGACCAGCCTGTTCAACTTGTTTACCCACTTGATCCTCCTTCACTTTACCCTGGAGCTGTCTGGCAGGTAGAAGAAAGCAGGAAAAAGAGGAAAATGACTTATTGGGAGGGGCTCAATGCTACCCACAGCTGCGACGATGTGAGTACAACCATAGCCAGCTCAGCTTACGAAAGGAGTGTATCTGAAGACTTAGAACACTTCTGACATGCTAGGACACAATCAGAAAAGTAACAAACTGCAGAATAGCTTGCTTTTTTTTTTTTAAGATTAAGAATGTGAAGTGACCTGTTGCATTTTATTCTTCTTCAGCAGCCTGGACATTAGTCCAGAATGGATCACCTGACATCCTGTGTCTATTTTTGTGATTTTACAATCACATTTTTTGATATTTTAAATGCTTTCACTTCCCTGTTACTACGTGAAAGATCCACACATACAGAAAGGGAAAAAAGCTGAGCTACACACAAAAGTGCTGTCACACTGATAAGCAGAGATGTCATTAATTTTCATTAAATGCTTTCAATGACAAGCATCTGAGGAGTTAGTTATAACAATGGTAGGAATATAGTTTTCACACAGATCTGTAATTTAAGTGAACAGTGCATATCTCACTTGTGAATCTCACAAAGCCTCCGGAGCAGAGCCACCTTCAAATCAACCTGTAGTAATCATGTACAGAATTAAGGACAAGGGCATAAGACTGCAGCTGCTCCGCCTAGTGAGTAAACATGCAATTGCATCTTGTGCTCCCTAAAAGCAGTTGACAAACCCTGCTAGAAATCCCAATGAAAGGGAATTAGAGCCTCGTGGGCATGAGCATGTTGTTGTTCGAGGCCATCTCAGGATAATAAGGACACAGCACAGCCTATGCAAGTTATGTAACTGGCAAATCCGCTTTCATGTACTGTCCAGCTTATGTTGTGACCTCTTCAGGGAAAAGGTGTAGCTAAATTGGACATCAGCATTGTCACTTGGAAACTCACTTAAACTACCCAGTATCCAGAGATAACACGTGTACAGAATGTGTGTGAACAAAGTTACCAATTGTATGCAGAAATCGGACCCAGTGCTGCCCACTTCTACATTCACTGGTAGGCCACAAAGTAGCTTGTGTCCTAACCTCACTGGTTACTGAGAGTTCAACATTTTAAACCCCCAGTGGGAAAGTTCAAGTCATCCTATTTAAAAGGACTTTTATTATGGTTGGTAATATACATAATGAAGCACACAATGTGTAATAATTATGGATTTAAGAGGGAACAGCCGTAAGTTAAGTCCTTCACCACAACATAATTCTGAATGGCAATGACTATAGATAGGTCTGAAGATCTGAATTTATAAAAGACATCCTAGACACTTAGTGGTATGATGATAAAGGAAACAGTGAGGTAGAAAGGAAGTATACAAGTACAAAAATGAGCGTGCTTGGTACCTCGATACGGTGATTATTCTAAGTATATTGTTACAGAACCATATTGGTTGAACAGCATATAACCTGCACACTGTGTATAAGTATTCTATTAGACCGAGGTTTGCTTATTAGCCCAAGCACAGAAATAGAAGCTGGGAGCTCCTTTGTTTTAATTCTGCTTTGGTTAATTGTTCCAGTTGTGGCCTTGGGCAAATCATTTAATTTCTCTGCATCTCAGGCACCATCTAGATGATAATACTGATGTTGACCCAATTTACAGGGTGTTGTAAGAGTTAATTTGCTAATGTCTGCAAATCTCTTTGAATTTAAAAGCACAATATAACATTCTGAGAATATTACAAATGTATATATTAATTCACAACTAAACTTTTTATTATATGTGCATACAGCAAAGAAAGAAAGGGCTCTAATCCCTTAGGGAATCTAAGCTCTGATATAGCACAGTACAAATAGTTAGTTTATATAAGCAATTTTATTTTCCAAATTCTCCACCTTCTGGCTTGTCTGCTGAACTCTTCTTTTTAATTATACATTAATTATACATATAACAGCTTGCTATGCTTTGCAGTTCCATTTCCTAATGACTTTGAAGTCCATTTAGAAGTTCAGTTAGAAAAAGGGTTAACAAGACTGGTAGGAGGATAAGTTTGGTATTATACATGGTATCTATAATACCAAATCACTCTGGGAAGTGAATGATTTCATAACTCCTGGCAGGAATGTGGAAAATCCACATAGCTTGACACTTGTCTGAAGTTTCAGATTCATCCCACACAGACGGCACATAGTGAGACTTACACGGCTGGTGCCCTCTGAATGGGTTCAAAATTAAAGGTGTATCAGGAGAATTCAGAAACTGACTGCGGCCATCGGGAGCTGCTGCTGACAAGAGGGCATAGAATCAGGACGACTACTAAGTTTTCGAGTTTAATCATCAGCAAAGAGCAAGGTGGCTGTGCACTTAGGATATTCAGCAACCTATTTTTTCAAACAGGTCGTCAGGTTTTCTCCTCCATAACTTCAATGGAGAAAGAGAATGAAGGAGACTCAAAATATTCCACGCATTTCCTCTGAACAAAGACTTTCACTTTTAAAGAATTTTGCATTAAGTGAGAGACCCCTTATGAAAACCCAGCTGGTAAGGATATTTTGATTTCACTTTGACATGAAAGTCTCTCTCAGGAAAACTCACTTCCTCAGCCTGAAGAAGAGTGTTTGTACCCAAAAGCTTACAAAGAAGAATTTTTCCAACTATTTTAGTTGGTCTATTAAAAGATTTTGGATTTACCCAAAGAATCTTGTTAGGAAAACTTGAGCATTTGTTGAACTTGTGTCTCCATTTGCTGGAATGTGCGGGCGGTAATATATCCGGAGGAATATCCTGATGGTGTTTACTGCAGGTTTTAAGTGATTAAAGCCTAGTTTCTGGATTCTTGGAAGGTAGCAATGACAATTCCACAGAATTAGTGTTATTTGAATAAATGCTGGGAGCAACAACTTCAGAATTAACCTCAAACCCTCTTGTTTTTCCCAGAATTTTGTATTTCTCATAAGATCTTTTATAGAATGTTGGTTCTTTTTGCTTCAGAGACAGCAAGCCTCGGGGAAGTCTCTAATACTGTAGAACAGTGCACCAAAAAAGAACGTTTGTAACAGAGAGCTTCAGCTCCAACAGAGACTCTGGGAACAGTAAGTGCTTCTGAGTGCTCTCTAATACACCTTGACATTAATATGACTGGGACCGGACACCGCAATAATGCCCATTACATTGAGATTGGCGGCAAATCACCAAACAATGGCATTTTCACTGATGATCATGAATCAGACTCTGGGTTTCTGACCGCTGTCTGGGCTTCAATCCAGACTCCCACCTCTGGTGACTGCATCAGCCACCCGGACCTCTGTGCCAATGAAGTGCTCCATATCACAAGACATCTCAGAAACATTGATGGGAAATTCAGGAATTTCCGGGAGCTTTTTCAAAAAGAAGGTAAGTGTCTAAAAATGTATTTCCTACATGAGAGGCTGGCATGAGAGTTAATGCCATTCTAAATCTGGAGAGGCAGCTCTGGTCTAGTGAGAGCTGCCTGCCTTCATTGTTTTATGTAAACCGAGTAGTAAATGCTCTTTACTACCCAGCTTACATAAAACAATAAAGATAGGCAGCCCTCACAACGCTTGAGCCAAGTTTTTATTCCCTGCTTTCCTTGTTTATGCAGTTGCTTAATTCAACATCTTGATTTTGCATGTAATTAACTACACACACTATCAGGAGACAGCTGATGAAGATCTGTACCTACTTTACTAACAAGTAGGATTCCCTGATCCCACCCTACATGGGGATGGATAGTACCAGACAAAACACTTTTTTTTTTTGCTAAGTGGCAAAATGACTGTTTAATGGCTCATGACATCAACATCTTTGACATCAACATCCCTCCTCCTCCTGATGTCATCACTGTGACAAGACTTTCTTTTTCTGGAGCTGCCTTGATGTCCAAAGCCCTTCTTTTCTATGTCTTTCGCTCACTGTCTTGCATTTGAAAACTTGTCTAACTTTATCTCAACTACATGGTTGGTCCAATAAAAAATATTACCCCAAGAAATTCTTACCTTTCACTGCCAAAGAAATAGAGTGTTTCACAGTAATTCAATGGGAAGGAGGTAGCATATCCACATTCTGCTGCTGAATGCAATTTCCATAGGGAAAAAAAAAGGTGACCCCTGTGAACTACACAAAACTGGGGAGCAACTTAAGATTGTTTCTGTACTGGTTCTGGCATAGCTGAAGGGAATGCCCCTCTCCATCTGGTTTTGTCCTGGATGGGCTTTTCAATGAGAGAGTTGAGATGCATCAGTGGAGAAAAGTCCCAGGAGTGAGAGCCAAAGGCCTGTGAGGAATGGTATCAATGGTAGAGTTCAATGCTGTTTAAATAAAATCCTGTCATTACATTGCACATAAAGCTGTATAGAGATATGTTTTGGACTGCCACATTCCTGTGGCAGAGAGAAGGAAGATTCACCACTTGTATCAACAAGATAGAAGATTAATGTAGAAAGTACAGGTATGGGCAAGAATGCAGCAACAAGTCTTTAAAAAAAATAAGCCCCTGAAATTCTACCACAAATAACTACGGTCAAATGGGAGAAACAGAGCAGATATATGAACAAGTAGGAAAAGCTGGTTTAAATGGCCTGTGGGCATTTCCTGGCTCCATCCCAGTAGTGCATGTGGGTTTTGCATGTAGAAGAAATGCTTCAGTCTGAGATCCTAATTTGCTTCTGTTTTGCATGCCACTTGTGTGCCAGTTTCCTGTCATAGAGACTGCAGCTCAGCCTGGTTGGTAGGGGATGCTTAAGAGGATGAGAAAGAATGTTATTTCATGTGGTCAAACACCAGAGGTCCATTTTTTCCTTTTTTCTTTTAATTTTAGGACCAGTTGTTTCAGGTCCTGTTGAAGCCAAACTGGTAGACTTACTACAAGCTATCTCTTCCCTCCTATACAAGTATCCTGCTTTGAACGGTGAAATCATCCAGCCTGCCACAGCAGCCCTCATCAACAGTGTGAACGGTAAATCCCTAAATATCGTTTGTTGTCTGGGCTGTGGCCGCAAAACCACTCAAAATAAGCCACTCATTACACAGAGCTCTGCACAGGCAGAGGCAGGTATCAGTGCCTAATACTGCAGATGTTGTAAAGCAGGAAATAAGTGAATGTAATGAATGTTTATTTATATGAAAAAGCTTGTGTTTAAGGGAGACCTTACTGCTAAACCTTCTAAAAATAGGACTGTTCAGAGCAAAGGCATGTGCTCTCTGTTTAATTTGGCTGTTATCCTGCAATTGTCGCTATCTTCCAAAATCAAAGAGGTATTATGATTAAACCCAGGAAACTGGCAACCTCCTCAGTGTCCTGGCCCAAACTCTGACTTGCAAGCTCTTCTAGGAGTGGCCGATACCCAATATTAGCACCAGTTGTGATGGATTCTGTGTCCTAACAGATATTCACTGCACCCCACATGATTCAGTTCAGTTTAGATCATGGCAGCTCAGGCTACTGTTGGTATGTAGTAATTTCTGTATCGAGTAGGAATGGAATCCAAACCCCAGCCTTCTATGCTATA